AATGTTGTAATAAAATGATGTAAGAAATGGCTAAGAATGTTGTAAGCTTTATCCTCTCATTTATGATTCTGATGAAAGATGTGGATTTTTGAGTTCTCCCGTTGGGTGTGCTCGACGGAACAATCTGAACTAGTGCGCTCCCCTATGTACTTGGTGTCTAATGGTAGATAGGTACACTTGGAGGGCATTAGCTCAGGCAGTTCTGCCACATTATACTTTTATTACTCATGGATGCACCCTGCATTCTGGATTGGTGGTAGATCGCGAGGGTGATAGCTCCGTTGAGTCCTTTGTAGTCCACCTCCCATCTATACGCCAAGTAGGATGCGGTTGCGATGGAAAGCATCCATTGTTGGTGTCTTTCCTTAATAATGTCCTCAATTAAATAGTAGAAGACATAGCTTACTCAAGTTAGAATTAGAAAACCTTAGCGGTCCTATCTATGCTCCTGTTTATCCTTAGCCTTATTGCTATCCCTAGTTAAGTTAGATGATAGTTAGTCTCACACGTTTTTTCTATGGATACAATACTTAGAATACTCCTAGGTGAAAGCTACAGTGGTATCCATGTGCTTGCAGAATAATCTGTTTGCGTTTAAAATATACCAACAACCCTAGAATCTCGTGAAGAGCTTCCAAGATCGGATCTGCTGCCGTAGATGTTGGTACGATAGAGGCTAGATTTTCCTACACCGCCTCCACGATCTCCCCTTCGCCATCGGCATTGATCACGCAGGTCATAGATCCAATCGTGAAAGACTCACCTGGCTAGGGGGAGTACGCAGAGCTTGGAAATCGCACCATCTAGTTCGCTGTGAGATCAGCACGCCCCCCTTCCTAGCGCGCCAACTTCGATGAAATATGGTCGATAGTCCACCGAGGTGTATACCCATGATGGTAACTTGTGTAGTGGAGGTGCGCATGATTAGGAACCGGATGATAACACAGGCGCAGAGACACGAGGCTTAGACAGGTTCATGCCATCAATGCGACGTAAAATCCTACGTCCTGTGTTCTGGTGGATTGTATTGGTTGTGAATGAGATGAGATGAGTTTGAGGGGGTCCCCTACCCGCCTTATATAGATGGGGGTAGGGTTTACAGTTCAGTTAAATCTAAATCTACTCGGTAAAATGATAAGCATTACATGGAATACAATATCTCGCATATCCGATTAGATCTATCTCTATCTTTAAGATATCTTCCATAAGCCTTGTGGTGCACGTCGACCAGTGCCGTACGTCGCGCGCCTTGATCTTGTGGGCTAGACCACCCCTGATGGTGTGGCTGATGTCTCCCGCTTGGGTATCTGGGGTTACACACCCCATAGACATTGAACCGATGGAGGATGGTGGTTAGCGATCTGCACTCGATGCCCAGTGCTCTAGCGGCAAGGGTTAGCAGCATGCCAGCGTCGGTGAGGGCCAGGGCGAGCTGGAGTTCGCTAATACAAATAGATGCACAGAAACGGGGAATTGGGGAGTCGGAAAAAGCGAGCGCCAGACGCTCCCTCTCAGCGACTAAGCCTCTCTCTTCTCTCTTTTCTAGGCCGGAGTTTACAAGATTTGGTCCAACATCTAGAGCCAGGCCAGATACATTATACTATATAATGGTGATTTTGGGCCACGCCTAGGTCCCCCAAATCCGCCCTTGTACATCTGGACCAGCTGAAATACTTGAAAAATACACTAGAAACATGTGTTTGAAAACAGCTTAAACATTTCAAACATACAATTGCAACATATGTGTATAGCTACTGCAACATGTGCATCATCTATATGAAACATCTAAAATACTTGAAACAAACTCTTGCAACATGCGCTTTTAGCGCAATGTCATCTTGCTGCTTGGACGAATGGAGGCTCGTCATTGCGGAGCTCGACGCCGACTCGGAGGTCGGCGACGGCGCATGGAGCTCCTCGACACTGCAACGGCGCGAGCAACTCGCCGACGGGGCGGCATCACACGAAGCTCCTCCCCTCGTCTGCTTTGCTGGAGCATCGGTCGTGGAGGCTCCTCGTCGGCTCGGTGGAGGCAGCTGTGTCTAGCGGGCAGCGCGGTGGAGGCGGCCACGGCGAGCTGATGCTGCGGTGCAGGCGTGCTGCGTGGTGGAGCGCGGGGTGGGGAAGGTAGGCAACGCGATGGACGCGGAGCGCATTAGAGAGATTTTCATTTTTTCGCAAGAGGTGAGGATAGGAGCGAGCGGACGTCACGGTAGCAAGTGGGAAGCCGTGTCCATCCTTCCAGACGCTTTCACGAGAGCATAACTGAATTCTATGCCGTACTAGCTATTTAGGTACTAGTACGAAATATAAATTACAATGCGGTTAAAATCCAGCACGTTACTTAACTATTGAGTTTCATTCCAATATTTCCTTGGAGCTTCTCACATGCGATATACTTTGTATGTATGCCGTTTTTTTAAATTATACAGTACAACGTAGACGTCTACAACACGCACGTATACTCATCTCTATAAACACACGTATATAAATCACACCTCTACAAACACATCCGAAGAACTGAGTCGGCAGATCTCGAGATTTACAAAGTCACCACAAGTATCTCGCTATCGAAGGGGACGTGCCTACCACTGAAAACATATATAGCGCCGTAATATCTAAAATAAATTTAGAAAAATATGAGCATGCCGAGTCAAACTTAAATGCGGGTGGACGCCTAGCCACAGTTGTACGTAGTCCTGCTTTGGTTTCATAATTAGCCCGGAGTCATGAGAGCCTCCGGTCATCGGCAGCGTCCCACGTGGTGCCCGTGGCCTACGACACCGCGCATTGATGGAGCTGGAATCCCTCGCGAGTAGAGACAGGGTTGCCAATTCAATGGCTATCACATTCCCAGGGGCACCAAAGTACCAGTGAATGCGTTTGCGATCTCCAGGGATTCCACGAAGGTTCGAGAATAGCGATGTCGATTACAAGGGGACAGATTTCGAGTTCACGCCCTTGGGAGCTGGTCGTCCATGCTTACACTTTGGAGATTGCATTATTGGAAAACATTCTTTACCACTTTGACCAGCGCCGGTCCTGAGTTTTTCTAGGTCGAGAACTAATATAAGCCCTATTCGGCAAGCCCTATTCGGCTTGCTGAATCTTGACTGAAATTGGTTGAAAAATACTGTTCTGGTTAAAATGTTGTGAGAGAAAAACATTGTTTTGGTTGAAAAAAGAAGCCGAACAAGCTGGATATTAGTCCACTTTTAAAAAATATTTTATACATTTCTCTCTCTTTATATAGTCTCACAAATACACACAGCGCGGATGTGGTATCTCAGGGGTGATGTACCCATCCTATTGATGATCGTCGATCTGCACATGGAGATTCGGGCGGATACTAATGACGGCATGACAAAACGAGGCATTAGCTGACGTGGATCAGAGTTTTAGCAAGGTGAGCTCTGTAGCTCCCAAGAGGCCGTGTACGCGTAGCAAAAATAGGAGAAATAACTATTCGGGAGCAGTGATGCCTCGGATGCTCTGTTTCTGTTGTCCGGTCTAGTCAGAGAAACATGGGAAACACTGGGGTTGAGTCGCCATGAGAATGCCGGCTCCTTCGGAGCTACAGTGTGTGCAAATCTGCGACCGAGTTAGGGTTGGTGCATCACACCCCATAGCTACGGCAGATTTAGGGTTCCTGGTTGATACCTGATCTCTTCCTCCTTTCGGATTCTTATATAGTAGTTCTTCAGCCTGCACCCTGCAGTATTGTCTGAAACTCTACGAGTGGTAAGGGCGAATCTAAATATTGTTCCCCAAGACCGGATGGATGAAGGATCAATCTATGCGTAGTTCTTCAGCGGCTCGTCTGCGGAAGGAAGGTTAGCTAAGATGCTTTAGTTTCAATCTGTGGTTCTTTGGAATAGATGGGGATGTCATGTTATTTTCGCAACCCTAAGCCTGGCAACATGGATGAATTTCTTATGTCAGTTCGAATTTCTCCACGATTGCAGGTTCTCGTCGGAAAGGGAAGGTGGGTACAAACATAGAGATCGATGGCAACGGTGATATTCGACGCCAAGGCCTTCCTGTCTTTATTGTTAATCAGCGAGCAGCCAACGCAGAACAACAAGCATCACGCCGGATTACCAGGCAAACTGTCGCTGAGGTCAATGATTTTTTTGCTGTCTGGACAAAGCATCATGTGTACCTTTAGACATGACTGAACTGTCTTCCAACAATATGCATTACATGCATGTTACGCTAGCATGTTTCTCTGGATTAACCATATGAATCTCTAAATCATTTGTCCAATGTAGCGCCAATCGTTGTGTGAGAGTTCGGCTGGCCCAACGGTGGCGCGCACTACATATGGTTTGCACTCTCACTCCTTTGAGTGCTAGTCATAACAGCACAAAATATATCCATAAAATATGGCTTGGCCCACTTAGCCCTGTGCTTGAATATTCTCTTCATGAACTTATTGTCAACAAGATTGTACTTGCGCATTAGCTGCCTCCACCTCCTTTCAAACCTAAGGCTATGTTTAGTTGGGCGAAATGTGAGAATTTGGCTACTGTAGCACTTTTGTTTTTATTTGGCAATTAATATTTAATCATGAACTAATTAGGTTCAAAACGTTCATCTCGCGATTTTCAACCAAACTGTGCAATTAGTTTTTTTTTCGTCTACATTTAATGCTCCATGCACATATCGTAAGATTCGATGTGATGGCCACTGTAGCATTTTTTGAAAAACTTTTTTTTGAACTAAACATGGCCTAAGTACCATTGTTTCTTCGGTGACAACTTTGTTGAATTCTTTCTTAAAATTGCTTTTCTTGCTGTAGGTAGGACCAACTTTTTGCTTGGTCTTCCTCAAAACGTGCCATCGACACCACCGGTGATTAGTCGCCTTCAATGTGGTTTTTATGGCTGCAGCCATTGCCTGGCACTGATCTGAAAATGTAAATAGACTACATTAAAATTCACAAAAAAAACAAATGGGTAATAAGTGACATGAAACAGACAGAAAAAAAGGACATTAAATCACATATGACGAGATTCGGAAGAGCAACCTGTGAGTATAGTGTGGGGTTCCTTGCCACCCATTATTTCTACAAACTTGCTGAAAGCCCACTCAAAATCCTCAACCTTCTCGGTTGTCAGCAATACCCCACCAAGCACAATGGACTGAAAGTGGTTATTAACACCAACAAAAAGTCCAAATGGGAGGTTATATAAATTCGTGCGATAGGTAGTATCAAATGTCACCACATCACCGAACTTTGCGTAGTCAGCCCTGTTCTTTCCAGTGCACCAGAGCATCAATTTAATCTTACCATCTTCATGAAGTTTAAAGCTGATTTCCATGCCAACATCATTCCTTTTCATCTGCTCAAGAAGGCCCAATGTCTTCCCTATGTCGTCCTTAATATTATCCTGGACAATTCTAGCGCAAAGAGATCTTACCGCCTCTTTCCTTACAGGAATTTCTGATCGAGTACCGTGAACCCTTAGAATGCTGCAAACCCTCCCTATAGGAATATTATTTTCACGGAGCTTCTGAACATCCTTGGTCATAGGATCAATGTCTCTGTGTGAGAGCCACTGTTTGTTCTGCCCATGGGTAGCAGAACAAGGATGATTGTGTTGCAGGTGCAACCGAGAAATAACCAATCCATGATCACCGGTGCGATGAAGCCTGATCATGGCTTTGCAACCAGTCCTGCAGGTTGCAGCCCTGCTGTTAGGACAGAGGCCCTGGATAGCAGTTAGGAAAAAAATACTCAGGACAACTTCCATTTCATTTTTGAATACTAAAATTGTAAAAGTTATGTAGTCAGTACTAAAAATACCTCACATGAGCATACAAAATCCTGCCTCGTTGTGAAATTGTTGTCATTCACTCTGTTTCGACCTTTTCTAATGCCCAATCCAATTTCCCAAGAATATAGGTTGTAGAAGTCTTTTGCTTCTTTTGCGGAGTTGAACTCCATGCCAACAGCAGGTAGGAAAACAGGCTCACCAGGGCGACTGGAGGACGTTCGCATAGCCTGAGTAATAGCACTTTCTTCCATGCCTGAAATCCTGGCTTCAGGGCCGTGCTTACCTCTCTTCCTGAAATTGAACAAGATATATACTATCCAGGAAAAATTGAAAAGTACAAGAACAAAAATGAAGCCAGATATGTGTTGTTTGCCGCAGAGTTGAATGATAATTTGCAAAAACAGCGAAGGGAGGCTTGAGGGTATTGGGGGAGGTTGGGGGGAAATAGAAAAACACAAACCAACATTTGGAATTTTCAGCCCTATACTCAACCTGAACGCGGATTGCTGTGTTCAAAATCAAAAAATATTCATCTTGGAAAACAGATTTATACCTTGAAAGCTCAATACAATAAATAGCATCACTAACCAAACTTTGAAAAACGGCCCCTAAAAGTACGAAGTGTGCCACATCGAGCAGATGATTAAAATCAAAGTAAGAAAAAAACAGAGACTGGTTTCTACTGGAATGATGCTGAATAGTGCGCGAGGAGTAGAAATCAATGGAAAACATTATGTAATTGTCGGTCTTGATTTGGTCACCTCTTGAGCAGATTGGGATTTTCCATGAGTTGGATCGATGCTGGAGCAGAATCTAAAGAAAACAAAGCACAGAATGAATGGCGGAATCATTAGATGATGTCAATCCATACGAATTCGAGATCGGCGAAATTCTTCTTTACCTGCGATTCGCAAATCAGGAAGACTCTGCATCTGACTCGTCTGTTCCAACCGGATTAACGAATGGCGAACCGGTTGCGATTCGTCGCCACATACTGCCATCTGGTCTGCACTAGAAGAACTCATGTACGAGGCGATGATATATGGATCTGACTCTTCAGATCGAAGGAAGGAGATGAATGGACATAGTAAGCTTCGGGAGTTGGCCTGTTGAAATTGAAATTTCGAATGGCGCACCCACATCCCGCCACACGGGTTTTCGCATAGCCACGTCCCCGATGCTTATTTGGTTTAGTAAATGCTAAGCTAGATAAGGGCCTGTTCGCTTGAACTTATCAGCTAGTATTTTTCTCTGACAACAAATCAATTTTAGTCGGCTTATCAGCCGGCTTTAATACCCGCCAAACAAACCCTAAGTTGATGACACGCGGCGGGCATCCAAGTTGGACTCTTTAAATCAGAACCGTTGGAACATATGGGTACATGACACCTGGGGTATCAAAACATTCACGCAAATACACATCAATTTAGATAATATTCCATGCACTAAACAAACTTATATAGAATATCTTAAAGTTCATAAAATGGACAGATATAATAATAAATTACTTACTTGGCACTTGACATTATCTTAAACAACTTCTTCTAACATTTCGAGATGCAAAATCATTGATATCGATCTCATCCAATAACTTCTTCTCGATGCATAAAGTCGCCAAACCATTTAACCTTTCTTGAGACATTGTCGATCTCATCCAATAACTTCTTCTCGTGCTTTATTATCAAGTTTATCCCAATTGATTGGATCATAAATATCCGAAGTGTAAACTGGTGGCTCATCAATACTAGCAGATTGTTCCTGTTCACTCGATGCATGAACGGTGTTCTCAGGGTCACTTACGTTGTTATCATCGACGCCGATGTCGGCATTTTCTTCCTCATTCTCATTAGTTGCTTCATCCACAGCAGCTATCGCCAACTCATCAGGATTCGTCGAAGCAGCCGTACCACTCAATGCATCCACACGTCTATTCATTTTCCTATTGTCATTACCAGATTCAAACTTTCTAAATAACATTACATCACACGATCCTGAAATATAAATAAACATATACAATAGTTAAAAAGTGAAAGCGTATGTAACTTGAAAGCTACAAATAAATTAATCATCAATATGTGCAGCAACGGTGCTTACCTTTGGATGGATGTGGACTGATCCTTTCTGTTCTCTGCCAACTGCCGTGGTGTGATCTTGCGTGATGACTGATGAGGCCGCGTTCGGATCACGGATTATCACTCATGATTGATAGGATCAGGTCGAATAGAATAATCAGAGTGTACGATTGCTTGATTACCTCCTTAGTCCTTGAGTCCTGATGTGTTGCGACGCGTTGCGTTGCGTCCGGCGGCCGCGGCGCCACGCATTCGCAGTTTGCCGGTTCGAGCGGAATAGGGCGACACCACACCAGAGTCGAGTCGAATCCTAGAGACCTGAGACCTACGCTGCTTCTGTATTGGGCCATAGGAGCCCACGTACGTATACATACCAGTACTAATGCACTATATGGGGTGAGGCATATGTCAATCCGAGGCCTAGGTCGGTGGCACAGATATTGACTTTGACTGGGCTCTTCGGCTCTTCCTGGTGGTGTATGCCCAGAGATGGTAGACTTGTCTGAACACTACGGGGCTTAAGTGGTGCCTAGAAAGGAGAGAGAATATTGGAGACTCTTGCCATGGTGGTGGGTAGGATTTCTAACTTTGAGTGACTTCAGGAAAACGAGGAGCGGTGAACGTACATGTCCACCGGTTCCAACTTCTTAAACAACTATAAAGCTACTATATAGCATATTCCAAGGAGAGTCGGAGAGAGGAAGCGGATGTGAGGAAGACAATGAACACTTTATAGTACTTGTTGGTCCCACATAGCTAAATAGCACCGCATCCCATCTATTTGTACACCGCTGCTTTCGTAGCTGATGCTTGGTTTGCTATGCATGGACCCATATATTTTCTGGCTTCACTACCACGTTGTGGAGGGCCTAAAAAGTTGCACCTGCATTTGAGAACCATCCCATATGTACACTCCACCGTTGCATAGGTATGGCTGGGTGTGGCTAGCTGCACCTTACGGTCCCTTCCTAGTCCATCGTTTTATCTTTCGTTTCGTAACATATGGATGCGGATATTTCTATGCGGATTGCTTGTGTAGTTTGTTTGTTTGTTTTACTTTTAATAAGGCAATTGGCTTAATCGTTGCTTGGAATATAGTAATAATTAATTAGTTGACACCATCCGTACACTAAATCCATTTCGTACACGCAGTTAAAAGCAAATTCTATAGTCGAATATTTAATTTATAACCGTACCGTCAGTCCAGTGTGTAGGCCTGCCTATCTATGAAAATAGAAGATTTCACTACCACAGAAAAGTATATCTCCGCCAGATTGAAACCTCGCATCACTGTCGGAACTGTGTCCGGTGCAGGAATTTGTCAGTGATGGTGATACAAATTTACAAAATGCGCATTCAAAATAATTTTATAAAACCTTGTTGGTCCTAATAATCTATCTAAAGGCAGGCAAACATCTCTCTCTATTTCTCCTCCTATGTCTATCTTTCATTGGGCCAAACCAAACATCCACCCGGCACACTTGCTCCACCCCCTCGTTCTCTCTTTCCCTATTGTTCTCCATCTTCCATCTCCGACTATGCATTGGGCCATAGCAATTCTCTTGTAAAAATGTCCTTTTCAAAAACAGTTTACATTTTTTCTCAAAAAAGAAAGAAAGAGAAACAGTTTATAATTAGAGGTGCATGACACCCAGTGGTGGAGGGAGGAGGGCCAGCAGGGGCCGTGTCAAAATCATTTATTAATATGATGCGACTATGGCCAAGGCCCAAGTAGAGAACATGAAACATTGCCTTCGTGGCTCCATCGTCGCTAGGTCAGGCCAAGTACGATTTGTTTTGGTGCTCCACCGATTTGGATTCTGGAGCAAGAGTCAGCTCGAACCCTCGGAGAGAGATGATCCGGCCATGGGTTTAGTGTTAGGCCAAGTATTTTTTTATGTTGAACGATATAATTAAACATGGTTTTAGTGTTATGTTCAGTTAATTATATGGTTGGTCCCGGAACTATATATAATTTGAAACTTATATATTATAATAACACAAACATGCTCATGGGTTGTGCAGTTAGCTCGATAATTTGCTGCTCGGCGGTTAGGTCGACAATTTGTAGCTCGAAAGTGATAATCATCTGTTTAAATACGTCTTAAAGTCAAACTCCATAGTGTTGCTTGATGCATCTTGGAATGAGACAATAATGTCGTTGAAAAAAAAAACATGACAAATACAATACGAAAAAATTAGGGAGCAATTTAAGCTCTTTAATATTACTAGCAAATATGCCCATGCGTTGTAACGGGAGAAAAAAATTACTAAACATTCATGCAAAATGATAACATGAGTGATACATATCTACCTATGTTTTATGCTTTTATAATTTATTTTATGATAACCATCACATCCATAATATAAGTTAATGTTGACAATAAATAATAATGTCCTATTAAACCTGTATTTAATTAGAATACACCTTGGTATATTTTTTCGTCCGTTGCAAAGCGCATAATTATTTAGATTTAAATATATCATAACTATGTAGCTTTTTTCATACTACCGATATGTTTCTATGACTTAATATTGATCTTTGTAGCTTTTTTGACGCATCATATCAACCTCCGTAATTTTTTTTGTCGAAATAGGTATACTATAAAAATATAATTAATGAAGAATCTAATGATACTTATTTGATATCACAAAAGTTAGTATTTGATAACATAAGGATGATTTTACACACATATAGACAAAACACAATCTAACAAGATTCATAACATCTATGGATCACATTTTTATGAAACTAACAAAACTGCTTTGACATTTTTCTAAGTTTCTATGATTTTTGGTGGATTTTGCAAGATCTCTCTTTTTATAGAAAAAGAGAAAAACGAAAGTAAAGGAAAAAGTCTTGCATGGGCTTGGTCCAGCCCACAACGAAGCTAGCCCAACTGCAAGAATTCGGCTCAGGTCTAAAAAGAAGCCCACCAGAATAGATCCATTCAGATTTGGACATTTTGTATCAGGAATCTCGATCTATTTCAAAAACTATTAATGTCTTCCCACCTTTTCTTTCTCTCTAATATCTTTACATCTAGAACCCCATATTCCTTTCTATTCTCTTCCCCACTCTTAGTGTCAGTTTGCACCGTAGACAGAGCCCGTGTTCGAGACCGAGCCAGTGACGGCGTGGCTGGACGAAAAAAAAATACACTAGAAATTTTGTCTGTTTAGTATTAGATAGTATAGGTATATAGGCATAGATATAGAAGTATAAACTACGTGTATTGATTTTTCACCGAGAATATCCTGATGGTGCAACTACCAAGAGGGAAATATAAATTACCAACTGACATGGTAAACTGACAGGGATAGAGCGACAAACAAATTAAAAATTGCCTCAGATAGTTATCATGTCGTTTATGGCCATCAGAAAATTGTTCTCCGGTGGATCTAGAAATCAATCTCTATCTCTGTTGTCAAAAACTGACGGAAATTTACCTGTACAGTGTTAGGCAGACGTGCCGGCCCATTACAGAGCCGCATGCCACGCAGTACGAAGGAAGCCGAGTGCTGGCCCTGTACTACCAACAAAAAAAAAGTTCACAACATCTGTCGGTTCATATACCGTCAAGACAATACATTAAACCGACAGAAAAATTGTAAACAATACTTCTTTCCAAATTTATTTTTATTTATTCAGACGGGAACTTGATTTATAATAATATAATAAAGCATTGTAGGAATAAATTCAAGAGACATCTCAACATCAGGCAGTGAACATATCAAACATAGGACCCGATAAATTATGATTTGTGAATCTTGTACAAGTACAACGTTAAACAATAACCACATCAGGTTGAGATACATTGGTAAAATGACACAACCCATGAACTTTGTGTAAAAGGGAAAAATGCACTATCAACATTATAGAGTAAAATGCATCCGAGGTCGATTAGCTTTTGATGGGGTGTCACCTAGCTTCATCAACTCTCCAAGTGCATTTTTGAGTCACTAAACTTTTTAAGTGATTCATCATACATCCATGCTCCTTCGTTTGGCAATTAGATACGATGTGGCAGGTCCATTCGGTAGCTAGTGTGAGACATATATACAATTAGCCGAATTCTCCCCTTCAAAACCCGTCGGGTTCAGCCCGGTGGATGAAAGCTCTAGTTTAGTTTTGGAGAATTGATAAAACCCTAAATGCTAACCCATTGCTCAAAGTGATTATAAGATAGGGTAGCACATTCCAAGTGGTGGAGAAAATAGTGAAGATCATAATGGTGGTGATGGCCATGGTGATGATCAAGTGCTCGGGCTTGGAAAAGAACAAAGAAAAAAATAAAAAGCTCAAAGCAAATGCGATATCCACAGGAGCTCTTTGTTTTGGTGATCGTGACACTTAGCGAGTGTGATCACATTTAGGATAGATAGTCGTACCATTAAGAGGGGTAAAACTCGTAACGAAATGCGGTTAACAAAGTGCCACTAGATGTTTTAACTCATTGCATATGCATTTAGATTCTAGTGAGTGTTAACACCCTTGAAAATGTTTGTGAAAATATGCTAACACACGTGCACAAGGTGATACACTCGGTGGTTAGCACATTTGAGCAAGGGTGGAGAAGTTTGGTGAAGTGTGGAGGCGAGGAAGCTCTGTTTCCTATGACCGGACGCAGGACCGGATGTAGGACCTGCGCTTTCGGTCATCAGGGCAGAGGCTGTGGTGCTAGGGTCTCTAACCAGACCCTGTGTGGCGCGCAAGATCAGACGCACAGGGGGTGCGTCCAGTCCCTGTTGACGTACGCTAACGCAAGCGAGTTTGGCACGTTGAAGAAGAGCCAGAGAGGAACGGACGCAGTGGCGCGTCCGGTCATATTTGACCGAATACGTCCGGTCAGCAAAATTCCTCTCTGGATGTTTACTGGAAGTGATATGACATGGTGCGGGCTTGGTGTCAGGTCGAATGCGGTGCATCCGGTCGCTGCGTGGCCGGCGTGGGCGCGGGTGCGAGCGGACGCTGCCTTGATGCGTCCGGTCGCGTTGCCCTGCGTCCGGTCGTTACTAAACCGCATGGGCATTGGAACTTAGCCATTGGAGATCAGCGGCTCATGTTTGAAGGAGGCGACACATGGCTGAGGATGCGCGACCGGACGTAGGAGTCCGAGCATCCGGCCACCCTAACCGGCGCGTCCGGTCAGCCCGCAGCTGCTGAGTTTTGAGCCCAACGGCTATGTGGTCGGTTGGGGCTCTATATAAACGTGTTGGCTGGCTCTAGCTCACTCTCTTGGCCATTTTCCTTGAGATAGCAACCTAGTGAGCTAAGCCAAAGCCCTCCAACTTATCTCCATTATTGATTCATCATCTTTGTGAGATTGGGAGTGAATCCAAGTGCATT